TTTTTTATCTTTTTTTTTTGGGGAAGGGGGTTTAGAATTACATAAATCTGTTGCTGCAAAAGCACATTTGGGCTTTGCGACGAAAAATGGTGTAAATTTTTCTTTTTTTTTTTTGATGTCACTTTTTTTTGTTTAGTTTTCCTTTTTTGCTTTGTTGACATTTTTATTTTTACTCTACAAAAATAATGCAAATTTCTAATTATTTTTAGCTTTCCCTTTTCTTTCGCTTTTTCTGTTGTTTCACCTTTCAACAATCTTCTTTAAGGTTACCAAAATGAAAGTATTCAGGTTGTTCCTCTCTTAATTCTTTCACCTATTATTCTTAACCACTTTTATCGTCCGGATAAGGCGATACTTTGAATTTGATTTTCATTGATGTAAGGTTAAAATTTAACTTCATACTTTCTGTTGATAAACAAAAAGAATTTTTGAGAAACAGAACTAAAAAATGGAAAACTTGATTCCACTGGGCATTTTGAAAACAGAATTTTAGCGTTGCACAGAGTAACAGTTGTTTCGACCAAAGAAGTAAAGATACGAGAAGAAAATAAGCAATCTAATAAAAAGAGACCTTCAACTATTTATTAATTTATTCATTGTCGATAGATTTTCCATTCTTATAACTGAAGAAAAAAATGTTCATCCAAAACACTTTTTTTCCTCATCCAACGAACCACAAAAAGTCATTTTTGGGGATTCATTTATGGCTATTCTTTTGCAGCTCCATTCAATTTGCATCAGAATATTCTTCATTGTTCATTGGTTGCTGAAGCAGATTTTTTACTGTATCCTTAAAAACAACAACAACAAAAAACACTTTAGCATTATCTTTGCATATTTTAAGACTGTATTATTTGTGTGGTTGACACATTTTGTTATATATATATAAATTGAGTGAGCGTCACTATCATCATCTTTGATCGTCGTCTTCAACATCATTTTAATTTAATTTTTATTTTTTGAACCAAAATCTTAAACGGTTTTCATGGCGTTTCATTGTTTTTACAGTCAGTCATTTACCTCCCATATACCACCGTAGCGCTACTACAATCACTACCACCCAGTCGCTTATCGCTTCCATTCAACGATTTGTTCTGTGTTTACCAACAACATATGACAACCATAATTTTAGAATCCATAGCCAAAAACCGCCGTCAGTTTACAGCTTTGCACATCCGGAAAAATGAAGCAGCATTTTACTTACAGCATACTAATTTTTGCACTTACCGTAATGCTTTGCGGTTCGATGTGCCCTCAAGGCTGTAACTGCTCGCATGACGACAGTCGCACTGTACACTGTCGCGCGATTCGGCTTGTTGACTTGCCAGCGTTGTTGGATCCACGGACTCGGTCACTGATTTTGAAGGAATGTCAGATCCAGAAATTGGATCCTGACATTTTGGAACTATATCCTGGTTAGTAACTTAAAAAGCAAATGCTTTTTTTCAGATTTTAATTAGCAGTTTGATGTCAAAAAATTTGTTTCTCTTGGCAATATCATCAGGCAAATTTTTTTTTTTTTTTTTT